AGAGCATGAAGGGTCAATATTAATTAATTTAATTTACCTTTTGTAACTATATTCAAACCCTCTTAAATAATTTATAAAATTACCACGTACGTGCCGCACGTGTATTACCACTAGTTTTTTTTTATAAAAAAAAGTCTATGAGAAAATTTCCATCCATCTCTAACCGTATCTATCCATCCCTCCGGGCCCCGTTAGGCTTGCTGAATCTTGGCTGAAATTGGCTGAAAAATATTGTTCTGACTGAAATGTTGTGAGAGAAAAATACTGTTCTGGCTAAAAAAAGAAGCCGAACAAATCGAATATAGAGTAAGCCGAACGGGGCCTAGATATGGGCTACTTGCTTCCGATCTCTTCTTCCATTTCTCACTTTGACCGTTTTCACTTTCACATATGGGCTATGGCACTCAGCACGTTCTTCCCTTGCTGCTTGAACCGTAAAACTTTCGCTGGCACCGCACCATCAATGCTGTGGCCTAACTGTCCGAACTTGTGGGCATTGCGAGTTTGTGTGCGCATGGGCATGTCACCTTCACCCACCACCTTTGTCAATATCAGAACAAGTGTGCACAGTAGCAAACTATTTTAAGCTGAAACAATGTCTAATCTGTTCCCCGTATATATAATTAACCATAAACTTGTTTTTATTGTGAGACTTGTAATTTGATTGATTTAACTGAAAGAGATTGGACCAGACCTAATTAAATCTAAGGTTCAGCCTCCAGGTATCATGTAACGTCTTCGTTACATTCCACGTGTATGTTTGTTAGTATATTTTTATTTAACTATAGTGTACTATATTATTTGAGATCTAACTTCAAACTAAACTTAACGAGCCGAGTTAAAAGTTGAAAGTCATGCAAGACCACCTAATTTTGATTTTTTTTTTTAAAAAAGGGATCTAATCGAAACAATCTTGAAACGTGGAGCCAGTTGAACTTGAACCAGTTTTTTGTCCGGCCCAAACGGACGACTCACGTGCAGAAGCAGGCCGGGCGTGTTCGTCCACGGGGTTCCTTATGCGGGCTGGAATTTCAGGCCTGAAAATCCCCTCGAAGTTCATAGGAACAGGCCTGTAGATCTAACGCGGGCTATGGATTTACAGCCCAGTTCTTCGTTTCCCCTGTTTATTCTTTTGATGATTAAGATCGGTCTAGGTACTTTGAGCATCGATTTATTACGTAAATCAGAAATGTGATCCTAATAAAAAAATCATAAATCAAAATTTAGATTTTGCTTGTACTAACTTTTTTTTTCAACGCAATAGCAGGAGCTCTGCCTTTCAATTATTCCGTAAGTAAGAGGCAACTTGGTACTACCTCCGTCCTCGAAAGAATGTAATTTTAGCATAGTATCACGCTTTTATTACCTTAAGTTTGACCAATTATAGATAAAAAATATCCATATTTATAATACTAAATATATACCATCATATTAATTATGAAATGTATTTTTATAATAAATTAATTTAAAGACATAACTGTGAATATTATTCAATAAAAAATTGGTCAAACGTGAACCACTTTTCGTGGCACATAAAGCCATAGTTGCATAGTTGCATTCTTTTTGGGACGAGGTAATACTAACTTGAACATCGAAAAATTCACGAGATCCATCTCACAACGATTATATCCATTCCCGTCCTTTTATATTCACCCGTCCCAAAAAGCGAGCCCCAGAAATTTAAACTCATTCAACACATTTCGCCAGAACACTGATGATGATGAATGAATAAATAAATGGATCAACGCATCCGGCACGTTTGCATCGCAGCAAACGGCTCTCTCGCCTTTGCCCTGTCGCACTCGTACGGGCGGTCGTAGCCATCCAGCAGCGACGTCGGCGTTGAGCCGATCCAGGCGATCGAGGCCGTTTTTCTCGCTCCAGCTCGTCCCTACCCGGGTTTCCGACGTTTTCCTCGTGTGGCTCGTGCCAGGACTCGCGTCACGCCATTTTCTTCTGGACTCCTCTCCTCCGGCACTAGCTCCGGCTTCAGTGCTTCACCTCTCGCAGCCCACACAAGTCGACGCGCCCCACGTTTTTCTCTCTCTCTCTCTCTCTCTCTCGCAACCCGCATGCATACATGTGCATGGCGTGATGGCAAATGTTTCCCTCGCCGAGACGAAGCAGACGCGGCAAGCACGCATGCCGCACACAGGACACGTCCGCGCGCCGATCAGCGCCGTCCCGTCCCTGTCAACGTTAACGTGTGCACTGCTGCTGCAGCACACATGGACGAACGCGAGTGCCGGCGCCGGGAAATGCTCGTGGCTGGAGCGGCCCCGATCGGTCAGACGCGACGACGCGACGCAGATCTGGTAAACGGCCGGGAGGGGAGGAGCGAGGACACGTGTCCGCCGCTCCTGGCCCTCGGTCGCGGACGGGGAGGATCCGACCCTTCTCCTCCTAGTTGCCCCCTATTTATAGGTCCCCGATCGAGTTTCCCTTTCCCTCCCATGCGCCGCGCCGCTCCGCGTTCATCCAAATTCCAATCCAAATGGTACGGTAGAGATCACTTTCGTCTCTCGTCTCCGAAGAAGAGATTAGATCTTAGGTTACTCCCGTGAAAAATAAAAGGCTGGGCTGCCGAGATAAGAAGATAAGATGATGATGGAGAAGCAGATCAGGGAGCACCAGGAAGCGGCGGCGGCAGCAGCAGCAGCAGGTGGTGGTGGTGCACAGCCAGGTGAGAGCGGATCAAGCAGGAGGAGGACGAGCGGGCGAAAGTGCACGAGACGTACCAGCACCAACACGTCTCCGAGATGCGCCTCGTCCTCCGGGACCTCGACAGGCAGCGCTCCCGCTCCCCGCTCGGCCGCGTCGCCCGCACCGCCATCTCCATCGGCGGCGACTCCTAGTCCTATGGAATTAATTCATTCAAGCCGATCGATCCCCTCGGTGAGGCGGGGTGCGGGAGAAGGCGGGCGTTCTCGGTCGGCGGCGATCGTGATCGTCTTCTCGCCCTCGCTCTTCCCTCGTTAGGGTTGATTGATCGATCGTTGTTAGGATCCGTTTCGTCGTCGTCGTCTTGTTCTTGGCATGGTCGGAGTGCTCGTTGAGATGCACGCAACATTTTTATTCTATTGTTTTTAGGGTGATGATATAATGGATCAATCATGTAAATATATTTTCTTTCATCATTCGATCGATCTACAGGGTGATGAACAATTTTCTATTTGCTTAGGTTTCGGGGAGAAAATATGGAAAGATTTCATTCTTTGAGGGCAATTGTTTCTGTTTTCTTGGAAATATTTTTTGCGGTAGCTGGGTAGCTACAGTTTTCTCTAGTCATACCGTGAAAACATTTCTTTCTATACGAAGCACCCCAGTTAATCGGAAGAAAAGGAACTTCAGAATCAAGAACATATGGTTCTGCTTCGCTTCATTACCGCTACACTCTTTCAAGGCTTTATTATTACAAGAAAAAAATGTCCGTGTTGCTACGGATGACCATATGTCGAGCCACACCTTATTTCAACTAAGAAAACATAAGCGTGCGTTGTTACGAGAGAAAAAAAAAACTATCAAACGTTCGATATATTCACTTCACTTCAGCTTGCTACACAGCTGTAACGGCCACGACAGTTTAATTTGTACAGATGCTACTTTTGATATTGTGGGTGGTTATTGCAGCAATTACAAACGAATGGGTGAAGGGCTTGTAGCCTAGTGTCTATAAGAGCATCAGTAGCACCTACGGTCCTGGGTTTGAATCCTCGTATTCCAGGTTTTAACGGCATTGCGCTTTCCGTGGTAGGCGACGTTCCCGTCGACAACGAGGCGTTGGTGACTTCGTCAATCTCGTCTTGAGGATTTATCGGCCCAGTCTTCGAATGTATTCATAGGGGTAGGATTTGCGTACGTGCGTTCATTCGGGTGAGTGAGCGTGTGCTATGAGCGTTTATGTTGTACTTTGTAATCTCTAAACAAATCATAAACGAATGGGCTTATTAATGGAAATAAGGATGACAATAGTTAGATACCAAGTTCTATGGCTTCTTTTGAGGGTCCATAAAAATATATAATTTTAATATTTTATTAAGGTGGGTAAGGATTAGTCGTTACTGTGTCTCGATTTTCACATGTCAGCCTTATCAAGAGTTGCCTTGTTATATGAGGACAACTTAGGGATTGATACTGACATCTGTGGATAGCTTGAAGAAAAGAAACATTTATTTTTACTGATTTGGGTGAGAAAGTGTTCAAGATTTAAGTTTATACGGTTTGATTAGTTTTTTTTAGAGCTCATCGGCTAATTCATGTTATAATAATAATTTATTTCTTATTAAACAACTTAATAAAAATAGAAATATTTGTTTATTTTAAGTATGGGTCAACGTTTTAAAAGATTTGTAATGCTTTATTATTATTTATCTTATTTTTACAATATAAAAGCAAGATTAATTCATTAGAAAATAAAAAATAAAAAACAAATAAAAGGAAGGAAAGTCACGGCATCATCCAGGAGCTGGTGCGGCACCTTCCTAGGTAAGACCCGGACGCACGAAACATCTACGTGTCAAAAAAGGAGAAAAAAAAGACAAAACAACCCAAGAAGAAATAGAGATGGAAACATAAACAAAACCTGGCTGGATGCGGATAAAGTACCGGTGATTAGGTTGGACGAAAAATTATAGGTGTCAGAAATTTTGTCTCTTTAGTATTAGTATTAGGTATAGATATAGACTCACTCAAGAACATCATGGTTCTGCTTCATTTCCGCTACACTCTTTTAAGCCTTTATTATTACCCTTCAGGTAGACATCAGTTGAAACTTGCGCAAAACATTTAAACGTGTTACACAGAGAAACACCTTTGAACAGCCAAGAAGATGCAACTAATCCATGTTCGGCACACAGAAAGTAGGAAGAAAACGAAATGGCACAAGAGTCAAAACTGGGGCTAATTATTATACGCAATAATCAGTACAGGAAACTAATTGATTTTTCGATGCAGTAGCCAGTACAGAATAGTAATTGATTGTCTGACGACAAACTAAAGAACTACGCAGCGGATTTCTGCGGAGATAACATCTTGATTCTCTTGCTGATATTCTGCATCACGTCAACGATCATGAACTTCTTCTGCAATCTAAACTGGACGGCCAGTCCCGTGGTAAGAGGCGGCCCCCCTCTTAGAATGGCCTCGTCGTCCATTATCTTTGTGTGGAAGTGTTGGAGAGCAATCGCACAAAGGGCAAGAACTGTTCGGAGTGCTGATGCTTCAACAGCGGGGCCTAAAGGAACTTGCACATCAAGTGACATCAGTGTTTTCAGGTCATGCTTGTGCACAGCCTCTGGATCATCCGCAAGAAGTACCCTTAGAGCAGCTAACAAGCGTCCATCAACTATGTCTGCGCCTCCTAAGCTTACCTGAAAGAAATCACATGTATTGCCCATAGCATCTGTGAGACTTAACACACATGAATACTGCATTCAATATTAAGTAGACGTGGACTCAGCATGTACCACAAGATATACGAGCAAGTTAAGAATGTGAGAATAACCTTTAAAATGGCACCCTCTCCATGTAGATTTAGCTGTGACAATATATCTTGTTGCCACTTGGCTGGCGCTGAAAAGTTGGGAGAAGAGACTCCTGCTGCCATGCTTGCAGCATCAAGAAGGGTTCCATCATAACTTAGTTCCACTTGATCGTAAGGATTCGATGTTATCACAAATCCATAATCAAGAAGAAAGAAATCATTTGGGTGGCAGCCATAGTTCAGTGTTATTGCTGCATTTTGCTCAATCTTCTTTTCAGCAACAACCTACATAAAGCAATATAAATGTGCAGATGAAGTGAATAGACTTATCTTGCATATTACACAAACAAGGAAATTGTGGACTAAAAGCAATATGCTCCTGGTAAATCAGTTGACTAAATGCACTTTAACGTGCCACAACTTTGCATTTTTTGGTACTAATGTACTAATCGAGAACATTAGTCACCTATAGGTTCAGACTTCAGAAGTGGCAAAGTCTTTATTGCAGTATGGCATTGCTCACTAGATGAACAGACGCTAGCAATGGCACATGGATAGCTTAAAGTAGGGTGATAAGTAGATTTAAGTGTTGCATGGCTAACAAGTGCATTCCAACATGAAATTGTATGTGAAAAAGAGTAGCGAAGAACACAACTGATACATGGATGTTACAATTGTGCACAGAGATGTAAGGAATGAGTGCACCAAATGACAAGTAGAGATCAAAGTAGAAATTTTGTGAAAGGCAGATATTTTCATAGTAATAAGAATAAGAATATAATATATCCAATAATACCACCCCCATTTGAAAAGTGGATATGAGAAAGGAAAAGGATAGCTTGATTCTGGAACAGAATTTTCAGGAGTGTATAAATGGAAAATTTAGCAGTACAAGAACATCACAGGATACTAACCTTTACTGACATGTCTAAGCTGTTTACACTTCCTTCCTGGACAATCCTAGCATTTGGGTTGAAACTATGGTTGCACATATCAATAAGAGGCAACAACATTGGGATTTCACCATGCAATCGGAATGCACGAGAAGAGGCAGCTGACATAGCCCATCCAAGGGAAGATGAATTTACATCTTGTCCATAAAAAGGATGATCTTCCAAGGGCACAGTGCCAAGCTTCTGCTGTACCTCTTTCTCAAACTCAAGAAGAAAACGACATCTTTTATTGACCTGAAATAGAATCAGTTAGAAAAGTAAGAGCAAAATGATAGGCCTCATCTAGATACGACCATATGTGTTTAACAACCTGGTGGAGGAGAGGAGCATACTGCAAGTTTTTTATGTCTTCCCCAGGAAAGAAGATTGGAACGGTAAATGTCTCTGGCAAATTGGCAATATATGGCCACCAAAATGAATCAGATTTGGCCCTTTCTTGAAGCAACCTCAAACCCAGCTTCATAGCCCATAGTTCCTCTGTAAAATGATTGAACTTACTCCTTGTTCGAAATGACATAGAGAAATCCCCTTATATATCTAAAAGAGGGGTTGTGGTAAAAATGACACATTTCAGCATATGTAAACTCAACAGCATTGTAGCATCAGTCACACACACAGATTATCGAGCAATACAATACCAGGAAAACCTCAACACAATCTTGTTCAAATCAATATACTATCTCTGGAAAATATATGGATAAAGAAGTATCAAACTGAGAAATGCCTGTAATTCCATTTTGAGCAACGGCAATATGATGTTTATCCTCGAAACCACTTTCTAAGTACTAAAACTGAGTTCATTCAATGGAAAAGAGTACACACTGCAGATGTAAACTACACCTACTCATACACTTACTAGGGGCCTAATTCTGAAAATTTGGATTCACTTCAACAATTTAACATATCTCCAGCCCCCACAACATTGATGTAAGCATGAGGATTCAGTTAGTGATTCCACAGTTGGTGGCTTCCAACACCAAACAGACAAACAAAAATAATTCAGGACAAACCCTGGATGACATGTTCAAATTGCCATTCTTATATTACAATAACATTATCACACTACACAAAAATAACTGTTCACTGCTCCCAAAGTCCCAACTCCCAAGTGCAAAAGTGACCAAGTGAGAAATTCAACGCTTTAATTTAGCATTAAAGCTTAATTTCAGTCACTTCAAAGTCATTATAGAGGCTCAGAGCATTACAACCACTAATTTACCACGTTTGATGCATTCACAGGCTCACAGCTACATACGTTGCCGCACAAGCAACTGAATCAGAAAGGACATTACCCGGGACTTGTTGGGCGAGCTGCACAAGCACGTCGTCCGCGGCACCGGTGGGGCGGCGTAGTCGTAAAGGGAGCCGGCCCGGGAGCGCGATGAGGACTTCCCCAGGGGGGATGTCGCCGTCGGCCGCGGCGGCAGAGACCCCGAGCCCGTGTTCCGGGTGATTCGCGACGCGGAGGGCAGGGTGGACGAATCCACCCTCGCGCTGCACCCACCGGACCAGGTCTGGCGGCTGCGGCGCTAGGCGCTGGGCGGCGGCGGACGCGGCAGAGCAGGAGAGGCTGCGGCTGCGGCTGCTGCTGCCACGTGTGAGTGAGGATGAGAGGAGGGTGACTGTAGTGGTGAAGAGGGCCTTCCTCGCAGTCGCCGGCGTAGCCCCCGCGGCGGCGGCCCCCATGGGGACGCGCTGGCTGGTTGGATGCGGAGCGGGCAAGTAGGTGCGCACTCCGCACCACTGCACACCACCTACGATAAGAGCAGGTGGTCAGTCCAAACTTTGAGGACAACCCGCTAGATCAATTTACAAGGATTTTAGCTGATCTTCGTAAGTATTTGACCCAAATGAACTTCAGGTCTTTATAAAACTTATTCTTTAAATATTATTAACATAAAATCAATTTCTGTATTTTTACTCTCTAATAACTTTTCTATATCTTGTACGCGCTCTCGAGAGTTATTCTCATCTTTATCATCTTCAAGAGTCTTTATAAAATTTATTCTTTAAATATTTGTTTAAATAAAATCAATTTTATATTTTTTTACCTTTAAGTAAGTTTTCTATATCTTGTACGCACTATAGAGAGTCATTCTAATTTGGCACGCGAGAAAGAAATTTGGAATATAAGATATTTGGACACCAAATTAAAGAGGTTGTTGCATTAAATTTTTTTTACTAAAATCTCTTTCTATAAATTAGGAAAATTATAAATAATCTGTTGGAGTTGTTCGTACCCCTTCCCCCCTTTGCAAATATAGGGCGTTTAGCATTTTTTTTTCTAAAATCTCTTCCTATAATGATCTAGTTCTCCATCTATTTCAAAATATAAATTCGACTTGTGATAGCCTCCAAAATTAGCTTGCAAAACTTCTATACCAAGAACCTTTGTGCCACTTCCGATCCAGATCTATCTCACTGGTAAGTATTCATTGATAATCATAATATTAATAATAATTCTAATACCTCCTAGGTCTTTGGGCCTTCTAAACCATTTAGCCATATCCGATATTCGACTACTCAAGATCACTTTCGACATATGCTGCAAGTTAACACTTTTTAGTAGTATTGTACACTTCAGTCATATCAAGGACTTGTTTGACATGTCTCCTCTTTATTAAGTGCTCCTCCGGAACGGTCGGAGCAATTGAGGAGGAGTCACAAATTGCAATCCTTTCCCTAAAATATTTAGTACAACTCCTCTAAATCCTTGTAGAAGCTATTGTCAGAGCCAGCCGGAGTTGAAACCATGCTAAACATGCTACAAAATTGCTAGGCTCATACCGCTTGCTTGTCCAAGGGCATTTAAAGTTGTTGAGACGACCTTGACACTAATAATCGGGAAATCGGAAAACAGAATTTCTATCCATCATCCGAGTGATGGATATTTCTGTTTTCATCCACTGTTATTTGGTTGCTGTTTCTGTATTATGGGCTCAATTACATCTGTTGTTGTGGCCCATTTGTATTTGTATGTCACATTCAATTTTCAGTCTGTGGACATCTTCGTCTTCTGTTTTCAGTCTGCAGAGAATTCAAATGGGCCACGTGGATATTTCTGTTTTTAGTCTGCGGGCGTGAGATCTCGGCCTGACTGGCGGGCCGGCCTCGGCTCCCGCCGCTCGAACTTGCGTGTGCTGTTCATGCCGTCCCGCGCCGCGCCGCCCCGCATGAAAAGGCTGGTTGGTGCCTTTTGCGTTCATGCCGTCCCGCGCCGCGCCGCCCGCATGAAAAAGGCTGGTGTCTTGTGCTTTCATGCTCTGGCACGGGAAGATGGCGACTGCCGAACGGGAAGAGGGCGTGTTCGGGCGTGAGGGGTGAGCGATGCTTCTTTGAGATCTAGCTGAGTGGCTGGTCTCTCACCTTAGCCCTCTCTACAAACATGTTCAATTATGATTGGCTCAAAAAGTGGATGATAATTGATACAATTATCAACGGGGTGATGAGTAGTCACTCCCATCGGAAAAATCCCGATGTTGCTCAAGTTGCTCCAAGAAATCTTCGGGGCAGGCTTTAGAAACATTTCCAATCGAACGATCTGGCAAGTTCTATATATAGAAAAACGCCTATAAAAAAGTTCTATATACAAACGGGACAAAAACTCTCGACGATCGTGAAAGGAAATACCGACGTTGCAGAAGTTACTCTAGGAAAACTTTTATTTTAGATATATTTCGATTCTATTTCCAATCGAATAATCTGATAAGTTATTATATAGAGAGAGAAACAGAGCCAAAAACCTTCTCAAACCCCGAATAGGCGGCCAACAGCCCAAAACCATCTCAAACCCCGAATAGGCGGCCAACAGCCCAAAACCCTGCTCACCAAAACGAGCGAAACCATCCCACGCCGTCGCCGTCACGCGGCAGCAATGGGTCTCGTCGTCTCCGCCACCGCCTCCTGCGGCGACATCTTCGGCCGACGCCGCTCCCCAACTGCGCCTCCCCCAACTCCTACCCCCGCAGGTAGCAGTAGCAACCCACCACCCACGGACACAACACCGGAGCCAGAGCTCGTCCGTGTGTTCCACCACTTCGACGCGAACGGCGACGGCCGCATCTCGGCGGCCGAGATGCGCGAGTCCTGCGGGTGCACGGCCGCGGAGGCGGAGGAGATGGTCGCTGCCGCGGACCGCGACGGGGACGGGTTCATCAGCCTCGAGGAGCTCGGGGCGCTGTTCGAGGACGGCGACCAGTCGGACACGCTGCGCGCCGCGTTCGCCGAGTATGACGAGAACGGCGACGGCGTGATCACCGCAGAGGAGCTGCGCCGCGCGCTGCTGAGACTGGGGATCGTCGGGGAGGAGATGACGGCCGAGCGGTGCGTGGAAATCGTCGCGGCGGTGGACCGAGACGGCGACGGGGTCATCTCCTTCGACGAGTTCAAGGCCATGATGGCTACCAAGCCGGCGGCGTGAGCCATACGCGCCCGGCGCCCCCACACCACACGTACGTGTACGTCTTCATCTCTGATCGTTCGTCGGCGACATGATGCACGTACGCGACTATTGTCGTAACCCTAATTAGCAGATGTAAAATACTCCATTAGTTTTAGGGTTTCACGTTTTACACCTCTACTGGTCGGTTCTAGTCTAGTTCGGGATTAGTTTGTGAAGCCTTATTGCTCGGAGAAAAGTTTGAGTTTGATGTGAGGGCAGTAAACTGAAAATTTGGAGGTATGCAGTTCAGCAGTTCGGGAGACAGATGTCAAAAAATAGCTTTGCTCGTCCTCGACCATGCTATCTCCTAATAATTTGTGTTGTGATCGATTGATTTCGACCCTTTCCTTTAATTTCTCACCCGTTTATAATTTGTGTTGTGATGTGCGCGATTGATTTCGATCCTTTCCTTTAATTTCTCACCCGTTGGACTATAGAATTTCAATTTGATTCCGCTCCCGGTCCCAACTGCCAACCCCACAAAAAAATTCAGTAGCAATATTGCTTGGTTGCTAGCCTGAATCATGATACTTTTCGATCCATTGCTTTAATTTTCTCTACCATTACTAGGCTCAGGCCACTTCGCGACCTGGTGGATCTGACACGTATGCTCGTTGCTCGCCTCAATTATCATTTATTTCTCGATCCCAAACCCAAACGTTGTCCTCGCGACCAGCGCCCGGCGCCTCCTATCATGGACGAGAATGAAACCGTGACTACGTTCTGAAATCTGAACTCGATAGCGTGAATTAATTACTGGGAAACTTGTGTGTCGTTAGGAAGCTGGATACTCTTTGAAACTTGTGTTGTATCTGAAATGCATCTAGGACATGCTTGGAACGTCTTCTTGCACATCGAAGTTGTATTCGAGACTTCAGCTAAAACTCGTTTCATACGGCTCGCCTCACAATTCTAGTTTTAGAAATGAAAATGAAAACAACAGCTGAAGGAGTTAGCAGTAGTCCCTTCTCCCTTGTTTATATGCCTGTCAATGATCCTCCAAACAAGAGTGGCAAAGACAAACCAAAAAAGACGGTAAGCATAGTACTACCACTATCATTAGCATGCAGTACTACAGTCTATAGGTACAGTATGTACAGGGCCCTTGGTCCTTGGTAGTGCCGTTGCAGTGCTGCTGCCCGCTGCCAACGTACAGTGTTGTCAAAGCACATCTTGGAAGTCGATTATTATATCAGAGCTGAGAATGCGTCTTCGTTACTACCCCACATACTGGTCAAAGGTTCAGGGCTCAAAACCAGGGCCAGGACCCAGGTCAGGAGCATCGTTCTCAACGATTGCAGTGTACCGCTGCCAACGTACAGTGTTGTCAAACACAGGCCTTGACCGTTTATTATATCAGAGCTGAGAATGCGTCTTCGTTACTCTTCCACCTGGTCAAAGGTTCAGGGCTCAAAACTCGTCGCCAGGTCCTGTCCCTGTCCTGACTCGTTCTCAACGATTTACCGGGCACAGCGGCACAGTTCAAACACAGGTTTCAAACACAGGCCTTGACCGTTCTTGCCTTGTACGTACGGTTCTGCCTCTTCACCTGGGCTCGGTGGCCGCGTCCCAGTCTCGTCGCTTGTCCTGTCCCTGTCCTGACTGAGATTCTAGCTGAGACTGTCTCCAACCCAGGCCCAAAATAGACCGTAAAAGATTTAAAATCAACTTTCAACAGAGTATTTATACGGGAAACATATTTTGAGTTGTCTGATAGGCACAATCAAATATGAATATCATCTCTTCTGGAAATCCATTTGCAGAAATAATTCTCTTTTGGATGTTGTTGTTGAAGAAGATATCGAATAGGTATTGAAACCTTTTACAACTGTAAAAAAAAATGGGTCTTATAATTTTTGGTTGTCTTCGGAGATAGCCTGAGGAGCTTCACAGGTTGCAGCGAGGATCGTTCAAAGGGAGAATCTCTCGAGAGGGACACATTTACAGTCTCTTACTTTCACTGCCGCTCCCACAGTAGTAATTGTCAGCGTGTCGCCTCACTCTATCCTCGCCGGAAGGGAAGAAGACGATGGACGGTGACGCCGACATGATCCCCTCCTCGCTCTCCGCCGAGACATCGCCCTCCTCGTCCGATGTCGCCACTGAGGTTCCTTCTTCTTTCTCGACCATTGTGCTTATGTGTGCACGAGCAGAATCTTTGAAATCCTGGTTTTGGTTTCTGTTGCCAGTCCACGGGGTCGTTCTTTCGGGACCGGAGCACGACGCTGGGCACGCTGATGGGCGTGTCCCTCGCCGACGAGGAGCAGGAGCAGGTGCAGGACCATCACCACCATTCAGGGCAGGATGCTGTGGAGGGGACGGGGACGCCGCGTGCTCCGGTGCATGAGGGGGAGGGGTGGAGGTGGCGCCGCAGGTGGAGGCGCCGGCACTGGCGCAGCGCCGTTGGCGGCGGGTGGTGGAGGCTGTGCAGGGACGACGTCCGCGTGCCCACGTCGCTCGGCCACTTCCTGGACGTGGAGAGGCGGCTCTCCGGCGCCGGGCTGCTGTGCGGCGGCGACGGCGCGGGGGAGCGGGACGCTGCCGCGGCGGCGGCTGTGGCTGTGGCTGTGGCGGCGGATGAAACGGGGAGGTGGAAGCTGCGGAGGCCAGCGCAGGGGACCTCGTCCTCCTTGGCGAGGCTGCCGGTGCTGCTCACGGCAATCTGCAACGGTGGAACCGCATAACCTGGCCCGCTCCCGAGTCGAGCGGTTCGGGTATTCTTTTGTTTGTCATGCTCATCACCGGTTAATTTGTCAGTTTGTCACCTTCCGAATCCAAGTCGTTCAGTGTCGGACACCTGATGTTATACCTCTGAATTTTTTATTCAAAATGAACTTAGTAACGAGTGTTATAACCGATGAAACTTTGACATGATGCAATCGTGCAATCTAGCGTGATGCAGTCAATGAAATATGCGGTTTCTTGTCGCCTTTCTATACTTCAATCCTGGATGATCTAAAGAGTTCAATTGTTGGAAGCGCATCGCCTTTGTGACTTTATCAGAGTCAGGCTCAGCTTACGCATTTCGATTCGAGCGTGCGGCCGTGCTCGTGGCCGTGCACGGCAGGGGAGATTCGCAGACGCTTCAGCCATCCGTGAACTCGAGGGCAGTGTGGCAGCTACATTGGCACATGTGACCTACGGCTCTTGTCGTGCCTAGCTCGTTTTTTTCGGAGTAGTAGGAGGGCTGAGACATCAAGCAACAGTGTTGTTTAGCCCCCGAGACTTAAGATCGAGCAGCATTGTTGTTCAGCCCCCCTAAAAATATTTTCTGGATCTCCTATGAATTTTTAGTCAAAGTTCTATAGTGTAGGGAGGGCTGAGACTTAAGATCGAGCAGCAGTGTTGTTCAGCCCCCCTAAAATATTTTCTGGATCCGCCGCCGAAAAGAGTCACATAATATACTCAGACAAAGCGTCACGCACTTTTCGCGCAAAACACCGTACACAAAATGGCACGCAGTTGACGTAGCACAACTTAACCTTACTACTAGTGTATATAACCTTAATAGTTAATACTAATACAATCTTGGAGGGAGCCTACCAATTCCTCTTCCCTGATCTTTTTTTGCAGGTAAGGGAGTGGCTCTGGTTAACTAGTTACATCTACTCGTACGGAACTACGGATACACGCACACTCAGTACACCACCAGGCAACAACAATGGCACCCCAAATCGGGCTCGAGCAAGACAAACCAAAGCCCAGGCCCATACGTTCGTCATCTCTCACTACCCTTTCTAGTCGCCGCCCGACTCAGCCGGGTTTGGGTGGGCCGAGAAGTAGGCGAGGAGGCCCATGAGCGGCGCGTTGATGTACGTGGTGGGCTCGGACTGCTGGAACACGGCGCGCGCGTCGGGGAAGGCGTCGGAGGCGTCGCTGGGCCCGCCGACGACGGCGCCCACGAGCAGGTTCGGGTTGGGCGCCGGGCTGGCGTAGTAGGCGGCGCCGGCCTTGCAGCCGATCCGCGCGGGGTGCGCCGCCACGGAGGGCAGCGAGCTGGCGCGGTGGTGGATCCGCCGCGGGAACCGGGCGCCGTACCCGACCATGTAGGACATCCGCAGCGGGTTGTCGCCCAGGATGTAGTCCACCTGCCGCTTGGCCGCGCGGCGGAGCTGCACGGGCGACGCCGACGACGAGCCGCACGAGACGCGCCCGCCGGCGTGGCTCAGGTAGTTGGAGTAGGCCAGCAGCAGGAACGACAGCTGCGTCACGTGCTGCATGTTGCTGCTCCCGGCCTTGAACAGCAGCCCGCCTGCATTGCATTGCTTGCGGTTAAATTCATTATTCCCGGTCAGATCGATCGATTCGATGCGGTAGAATTCGAATCGGATCACGGTAGATATGATTGTGAAGCGAACGGACCTGGGGAGTACTGGATCTGGGGGTGATTGGAGATGCCGGGGAGGAGGGTGCACATGAAGTTGTCGGCGTTGACACGGAACGACTGGAAGTACTCGTCCTTCGCCATTAGAACCTCCTGATTGATGAACAATAGAAACAGAGTTAGTGTTCAGCATTAGTGATCTGCTTTGGTTACTGACTGTTGAGGGCATTTTGGGTATTGTTTCGGTACAGTACACCCGTGAAGGCTCTGAAAAGGCTTCCTTCGCTGGAACCCTGCTGCTACGCTACCGTGCTAGCTGCTCGCGTCGCGTCGCCTGCTCCGGCATCATGCGGAGCACAAGGGCCTAGGAGGAGACCGAGATTGCAGCAGACAAGCATGTTCCTACACAGCTCCAACAGTGGTAGCCTATGATGGGTAGGTTGATGAGTGCTGATTCTACGGAGTATAATAGTAGGCTGATGAGTTGTTTACTGAATCTTCAGACAATTTTTAAGCTAATCTGGCCATACTACTAGATTCAGTAGCCCACCACCGCCGTCAGAGACATGTGAGAATGTTGGCAAGATCATCACCCGGATGCGTCTGGATCCAAAATCTAAAGCTAGAAAACAGCACTGCAGTACAATCGGTAAGTAATCATATCACCCACCCAGCGGTTTACGTAGCTTTTTTACGTTCTTTTCGGAAGCAGGACGCAGGAGGATTCAAGCTGAAGCAGTATGGGATGCTAGACATTATTCTCTAGTGCTAAGATAAAATAATGCCATCGAGGTTTTCTGCTAACATTGCCAAGTAGCCAAGGACGTGCAGTGTCTGACATGCCCTGAGCCCACCGAAAAGCTGGTGACACCCTCGATGGGGGCGAACCATGTGCTCGCCTGTTGCCCGGTACGCAACAGAGATATTGCAGCATTGCATAGGGCCTGGTTTAGATTGCCTGTTTTTTCACTCTCTCTCATCATATTAAATTTTTAAACACATACATAAAATATTAAATGTAGATAAAAAAATAATTAATTACATAGTTTAGTTGTAAATCACGAGACGAATCTTTTGAGCCTAGTTAGTCCATGATCGGACAAAGTTTGTCAAATACAAACGAAACGTGCTACAGTGTCCAGATTACAAAAATTTGCAATCTAAACTAGGCCAAAATAAGGCACACCACCTGGTCTTAGGGCATGTTTGGTTCCAAACAAGTCATCTCTTTATAAGTTAAAAAGTGAAATAAGTGACTTATTTTATCAAATACCATCAACTTATAAGTCACCTCTGCTTATAAGTTTTAAGTTGGTTCACCCCTTCTTAAAACTTATAAGTCACCTTTTTTCATGTGGGGCTCACACCTTTAATGAGCTTATAAGTCATCTATAACCAAACAGACATGACTTATAAGTCACTGGTTTTTTTCAGTCTCATGACTTATAAGTCAAACATACCCTTAACACCACGCTGACCAGTGCTGATGACGGTCTAATAATAGCAAAGGATTTGGATGTGGCCAAATGGCCAATGCTTCTGACATCAGCGAACAGCCCAAATTTGTGGCACCGTCTCCCTCCGTGACACTTGCACAGTAGGAGTACTCTACTTCCACTTGGGTGCTCCACTCAGGGAGCAGCACACACAGCCAGAGTTAAGTAAGAGCAGTAACAGCTCATTAACGTGGTATGGCAATGGCAAATGTTTGCGCAAAAAAAAAAAATGAAGAAGTGGCGATGGAGAATGGACCTTTGAGATGAGGACGTTGATGCCGGCGTGCTTGTTGTCCCAGCCGAACTCGTTGATGGCGTCGCTGGCGCCGAGCACCACCTCGTTCCTCTTGATGTACTCGCGGTACTCCCGCCGCCGCGACGCCTTGTGCAGCCACGCCGCGCCCCACAGCAGCTCGTCCTGGTACCCGGAGTAGTCGCAGTAGCAGGGGCACACCGCCGCGTGGAGGCTGCTGCTGTAGGGGCCCCGGTACTTGTCCGCGAACTCGAACACCTACAGCAACACGGCTGAGTTGTCATCGGCCAGAGAGAGTAGCTCTGCTAGGCTAGCTAGCGGACATTGACGCTCTCTTACGGCGACGGCGCGGTCGAGGAGGCGCTTGGAGTAGGCGGGGTCGGCGTCGCGGAAGACGATGGAGCCGGCGGCGAGCGCGGCGGCGGTCTCGGCGGCGACGTCGGAGCCCGGGTGGGACGGGTCCACCTTGTAGACGGTGCGCGGGGTGTCCATGTCCTCGGGCCGCTCCCAGCACGCGTGGTCGCGGAAGGCGTCGCCCACCTGCACGTACACCGTGTTGGGCTTCGCCGTCGCCTTCATCAGGTAGTCCGTCGCCCACCGCACCGCCTTCCGGGCCTCCTCCCTGTGCGGGCCGAAGCTGCGCCCGAAGTCGATCAGGCCCCACGACATGAGCGTCGCCGAGAACGCCATCGGGAACCCGAACTTCACGTTGTCGCCGGCGTCGTAGTACCCTCCGGTCAGGTCCACCTGTGTTACGACGTTCGTCACGACTCACGACACGACCAATGGCGCAATGCTGACATGCCTTGCTTGCTTGAATAACTATAGAAGCCAAAGGAAACTAGAGTCATTTATTATTAGGACGGGGAAGGTGCACGTACCCCGGCCGCGGCGCCGTCGTGGAGGCCGGAGTCGCGGCGCCAGCGGAGGCGCTGGTCGGGTGGGAGCCTCCCCGAGCGCTGCCCCTCGAAGAAGAGGATGCACTTGTGCAGCGCGTCGCCGTAGTCGTGCTGCGCGGCCGCCGCCGCCGCGGTCGAGAGCAGCATTGCCACAACGGCTGCGGCCGCCGCCATTGCCCTGACACTCCGCGCCGCCGCCGGCATTGCTGCTAAACGCTAGTGAAAGCTAGCAATGGCAATGGCCACTGACTGAGTAGTGAAGAAAGCTAGATGCCGCCTGTCCGTACACACACAGTTGGACGCTTCGGCACGACGGCAGGAGACTGAGGTGTGCGCAGCGGCGTACTAGCTGCACTGGCCGTGCTCGGCAGCAGTCGGCAGGGGAGCTTAATAATGGGCGGGGAGGCGAGTGAGGTGGTGGCCGGCCGGCCGAACGGGAAGGAGGGAGAGGGGTAAATATGGCACGTGAGCGGCCGCAGGCCCGCAGACACGGGCCGATGCACGGAATGCGATGATGGGTGGGGAAAGAAGGCCTAGGATGCCGGAGCGGCAGCCAATGCGGAGGCGCCGCGTGGACGTGGCGAACGTTGCGGCGCCGGAGGCCAGCTCGGCTTGCTGGGACCCGAGACACTGCGGGGTAGGGCCAGCGCAGATGGCTATTCTGCCGTTGTTTGGTTCGTTTTGGCTGTTGGTCCTGTTCCTGTACAGAAACGGTCTCCACACTCCATCCAGGGTCTCAGCGTGGCACCGGTTTTCTTTTCTCAACGCGATAGAAAAGACACATGGCCCATGCTCATGGTGGGTGTGCTATCTACTACTAGTACCCTGCACTTTAGCATCGGCCTACCACCGTATAAACTGTCAGTGGAATGGTGTTATGGTCCTATGGTGAGCTCCACCGCCTCCACCCATCACACGTACGTACCAGTGTATCTCACTTGGTCTGGGTAGGCGCAGGACAAGACCACAACACATGGAAGACATTTGTCGGTGTTTTCGGACAACTGACGAGTAAATTTATATTATGCGTCTGACTCGGATAGTGTGCTCGGAGGACATAAGAGTTTATACTGGTTCGGGCGGAACGTCCCTACGTCCAGTTCGCTGCTGCTCGTGTTACCGCACTTGGTTTAGCGAGGGAGTTACAAACAGGCGAGAGAGGGAGAGGATCCCAAGTCTCTGGTAGAGGAGATGAACGGATGCTGAGAGCTCGCTTGCCGCTCAGCCGTGTGCTCGTGTCGTGCGCTTGTGTTCCGATTTTGTCCGGATCTCCATCCCCCTTCATGGGCCCTGCTTCCCTTTTTATAGGAGAAGGGAAAGCACGGGTTACAGAGGAAGAAGAAGAAGAACAAGAGAGAGAGGGAAGAATGCTTTCAGGGTAATCGGGTCCTTCTTGTCCTTTATGCGTGTCCCGCCGATCCTGTAGATGTCAACAGGGGCGGCGGTTCCACGTCATGCCCACGTTTCGTCAGCCGTGAGCCATACGCAGCGCCATCTGCGGCTATCGCGTTTACTCCGTCCCGTGGACGTTGTGGTGAATCGACGCTACCGTCGGCCGTCGTCGATGAGAGGTTAGGCAGAACAACATCGGCACGCCCGACACTGTTCTTCTTGTGAATACCCAGGTATGGCCGGCCATAGCCACGGGTTACATCGAGGTATGCCAGTCTCTTCCCTGGTGTCAGAGTTTTGACCCAGGCCTATACGCTTGGACCTGAAGTGGTTGGCGACGGTATGGGTCCACGTCGGACGAGACGAAAACCCCGTCCTTGGGGTCGGGCGAGACGGAGCCCGCACCCAAGGGATCGGGCGAGACGAAGCCCGCGGCCTTGGACAAGACGGAAACCGCATCCTTGGGGTCGCGGCCTTGGACGAAACGGAAACCACATCCTTGGGGTCGGACGAGACGGAGCCCACGGCCTTAAACGAGACGGAGCCCGCGGTCTTGGGGTCGGGAGAGACGGAGCCCGCACCCAAGGGGTCGGGCGAGATGGAGCCCACGGCCTTAGGCGAGACAGAAACCACGGCCTTAGGGTCGGCCGAGACCTTTTAATACATCTTGCCCCATTCGGGGAAGTCAGCGTGGACACTAACTTTCTTGCTTTGGGTATCCCTAATATCGATGCCCGACAGTAGCCTCTGAGCCTACGGAGGAGTAGAATACTCCTTTGGAGGCTTTTCCGTACGGGAGGGCTCTGAAGGCCTTGACCTTCTTTTTGTAGCCCGCGGCGTGTCCTAGTAGGATGGTGGTTTCCTTTTATTGCGATTGGTCTTCTTGGGGCATGTAACCGTAGGATTCGGCAGGTCAGAAAGATTTTTCTCGATTCCGGTCCCCTATGATCCGATAGGACCGCCGTCGTACTACGACCGCGCGTTCGGTCTTCTTGCGAGTCCAACTTTCCACGAGCCCCCACGCGTAGCAGGGGCCGGTCGAGGGTCAGCTCGTGTTTGTGATCGTCGTCCCTCCAGCGTTTTTTGATAAAACGAAGGGGCTGAGCCATGCCATGTTTTTTCTCGATGGACGAAACATGGTGCTCGGTGAGCTGTTAACAGGCTAGTCCGAGTGGGGCACCGGCTTCCTGTCCGCGGGGTTCCGGCATGGGTCAGCTGGTGACCGACTCTAGACTCTTGGCGGCCGGTCCATATAGTTCTTAGGTCTGTTCGGCCGATCCCAAGGGCTTGCTGCCTTTCTTCGAGGAAAAAATATGGACTGGGAAGCAACCAAGACTCGAACGTGGGCCGGGATGCCGGCGCTCATGCGCCTGGGTACTGGCCGCTAGTGGGCCCATCCCTTTCCACCCCTCGCTCTAAGGGTGCCCCAGAGCGGCTGTGAACCCGTCGGTGGGCCAGCCTTCAAACTCCTGATCCTGAATGGGCCATAGGAGCGTTTTTAGCACTGTATCCCTCCTTACCTGTGACGGTTCTTGACCCATTGAACGGGCGAACCGTCATCCGGCGTATCCTTCTAGGGCGTGGCCAGAGATAGCGTGCGTGCAATCTTTGGAGGGAGGTTACGTGACGCGATGCAGTGGGCGCGTGAATCTAGGCGGACGGTTCGCCTTCTCACCCCGCTACGCCCTATAAATAGCGGCCTCCCCCTTTGCGTTCATGCACACCAAAACTATAGCCTTTCCTTCTCCGTTTCTTCACCGCCACCGTTCGGATCTGCCAAGCTTGCTAGTCCACCGCTAGAGCCCTAGATCTGTAGCTTCCGCTCCTCCGCCGCCGCCTTTGCTTCTCCGTAGCCACCTCCATCCTCCATGGATTCGTGGTACCGCTCCGATGTTACCCATGCACGCATGGAGGGCCTCGTCAAGCGTGGTCTTCTCTACGGGAGGACCGATGTGGCGGAGTGGCTGGTGCCCGGCTGTGAGAATGCGTCGGCGCCGCCCGACGGCTACATCATCTCCTTCGTGCTCTTCCACGAGCGTGGACTCGCGGTTCCTCCCCACTCATTCTTTCGGGCTGCTGCACCACTATCAGATCGAGCTATAACACTTGAACCCTAGCAGGATCCAACACATCGTGACCTTTTATTGCGATGTGTGAGGGGTACCTAGGGATCGAGCCCCACTTCGAGCTGTGAAGATATTTCTTCTCCATCTCCTTGATTAAGAAGAAGGAGAGAGGCCCGAGATCCCGGTGCCTATGGGATGCATGGGCATCCACCTCCGAGGGCAGCGGGGGGCTGAGTACAAGCCCAACCAACTCTCTAGATCCAACAAGGGGTGGCACTCGCATTGGTTCTACCAGAAGAAGTACTCTGCCGCTCCCATACCGGTCTTCTCTGGGCGTCTGATCGAAGAGGTACCGCCATCATGGCCGTGGGGGCCACCCATCAAGGAGAAGAAGAGGATGCACGACCTCCTCGAGGCCATTGCGTTCCTAAAGACCCGCGGCCTCCGCGGGGCTGGCATCATCGGAGGGTATCACGCGAGGAGGATGGCGCCGCTGATGGCGCATGTCCTCTCGCTGAACGGGATGACGCCCGGCGCGTAGCTCATTAGGACGACGCTCGCCCAGGGGCTGCTCCATGATAGCGAGGTCAAGCAACACATCAAGGAGGCCACGGGGGAGGCTGACACCGTGTTCCCGATCCCAGGGCATCCCGTGATGTGGCCGGATGCGGGCTTCATCGAGCTGCCAATGAGGTCAGTCTTCTGGGACTCTATCGCACCGCTGCCAGAGCACGCGTCCGTGAGGGCGGAGAACCATGTTGTGGATGAACAAAGGAAGAAGAAGGACGATGAGGAGAAGAAATGGTGGTCGAAGCAGCGAGCGAAACTACAGCAAGGGAAGCGGCGTCAAGGCTCGTCGGAAGAAGAGGAGGAGGAGGATGACGGCTCCATGTCGCCCATCTCGTGGGATGATTTGGTCGCCAGGGATGAGGACCCGCCTTCACCGTAGGCGTGGCCCTTCTCGTGGCATGTCACGAGGTAGGAGGGAGAGGATGCGCCCCCGGAACCGGCGGAATCAAACTGCCTCGCCCCATCCGAACCTTAAAGGGCGGCCTCGGAACCGACGGAGTCAGGCCGCCTCACCTCGCCCGGGCCTTTGATGATGGCCCCAAAGCCGGTAGAAACATGTCACCCTGCTCCGTCCGAGCCCTCGGTGGCACCTCTAGAGTCGGCGAAAGGCGGCCATTCTGATTCGTCCGAGCCCTCCGAGCCGAGGGAGGGCTCAAAGTGGCAACGTGCCGATGAGGAGCAACCGGGGTTGGGCAAGCCAGCCCCAAAACATCCTCGTATGATGGCATCAAGGTGAGTCAAGAGTTTTTTTGTCCTTTTGTCTTAACGGACTTTTGCCACGAACTGGCCGCCATGTCACTTGCAGCGTCGGAGGACATGGGACTCTCCTGTGGCTCACTCCAAAAAAGACCCTCCTTCGGCAAACACGCCAGGAGCCGGCTGGCACCATGGTGGTGGTGAGCGTGGAGTGGCGTTGGGACAGCCACGGCGTCGACCGGGGAGGCACAGTCGATGGCTGCGTCCATAGGATAGCAGGTGAAGGAGGGCGTGTCTGGGGCGCTCGTGGTAGGCGTGGCGCAGCCGGTCATGTCCTCGACATCATAGGTGGAGGCGACACGGCCAGAGGCATAGTTCGTGCAGGTGGCCATGTCCGCGGTGGGGCGGATGGAAAGGGGCACACCCGAGGCATCCTTTGCGGATGTGGCGATAGGGCAGGTCTCTGTGTCCGCGTCACCC